TTTTCAGCAAAAAATAAAGGAAAAAGAAATTGAAATAAAAATTTATACCTTTTCGGGCCAAAATGTCGCTACTCCGAGATTCAGTGTATATGTTTTTTTATCTACTATAGGGGGGGAGTGCTCCTCGACGGGTGGGCACGGGCAGAGTTGCGCCGCGGCATGGGGCGCTTCTCAGCGTGGGTTCCGCGTGGGTTCCCATGCCACGGAGTTGGATATTTTCGCCGCGTGGGTTTCGGTGGGTTGGTTATCCTCTCCTTCGGTTCGGTTGGTTGGAATGCCGCGGTTTCCAGGTTGGGTGGGCACGAGTAGTTGCCCCGCGGCATAGGGCACTACTCAATGTGGGTTTCGGTTTTCGGCCGTGGTTCTCTGGTCCACGGCGTTGGTCTTTCTGCTGCATGGGTTTCGGCATGGTCGCCGTTTGCGCTAGCCGGTTTCGGTTGTGTGCAATGGCGTGGCATGAGTAGTAGCGCTACTCAATGTGGGTTTCGGTTTCCTTGCGTGGCCCTCCGGTCCACGGCGTTGGTCTCTCCGTCGCTTGGGTTTCGGTAAGGTCGCCGTTTGAACTAGTCGGTTTCGGCCGGTTGCAATGGCGTGGCATGAGTAGTTGTACTGCTCGATGTGGGTTTCGGTTTTCGGCCGTGGTTCTCCGGTCCACGGCGTTGGTCTTTCCGCTGCTTGGGTTTCGGTATGGTCGCCTCTTGCACTAGTCGGTTTCGGTTGGTTGCAATGGCGCGGCATGAGTAGTTGCACTACTCGATGTGGGTTTCGGTTTCTTTGCGTGGCTCTCCGGTCCACGGCGTTGGTCTCTCTGTTGCTTGGGTTTCGGTAAGGTCGCCATTTGCACTAGTCGGTTTCGGTCGGTTGCAATGGCGTGGCACGAGCAGTTGTACTGCTCTATGTGGGTTTCGGTTTTCGGTCGTGGTTCTCCGGTCCACGGCGTTGGTCCCTTCCGCTGCTTGGGTTTCGGTATGGTCGCCTTTTGCACTAGTCGGTTTCGGTCGGTTGCAATGGCGCGGCATGAGTAGTTGCACTACTCGATGTGGGTTTCGGTTTCTTTGCGTGGCTCTCCGGTCCACGGCGTTGGTCTCTCCGTTGCTTGGGTTTCGGTAAGGTCGCCATTTGCACTAGTCGGTTTCGGTCGGTTGCAATGGCGTGGCACGAGCAGTTGTACTGCTCTATGTGGGTTTCGGTTTTCGGTCGTGGTTCTCCGGTCCACGGCGTTGGTCTTTCGCTGCCCGGGTTTCAGCATGGTCGCCGTATGCACTAGTCGGTTTCGGTCGGTTGCAACGGCGTGGCACGAGTAGTTGCTTTACTCTATGTGGTTTCGGTCTCCTCTCGTTGGCGATGCGACTAGTGGGTTTATTTCGGTCTTTTCCCTTTCGCACTTATTGATGCGAGTGTCATGGCGTTCAACTTGCGGTGGTGGACTATATGCTTGGAGCGATTCCAACCGTGTGGTCTGTTGGTGTAAGTTGTGTTGCACTTGATGTTTGCGATGCAAGACGGTGCGTGAGTTGTCTCCGGCATTTGTGGTTAAGATGGATCATTGCCGTAGCAATGACGTCTTGCCGCCTTGCCTTCTCAGTGTCGATTGCCTCGGTGCTGCTGGGGCCGATTTTCCATGGTTTCCGGTGTCGAATACCGCTGCGGGTGGCATTTTGCATGTTAACTCTCGATTTCCGTCCTGTGCTCGTCCTCGTTTGTATGCGAGGGTGTGCGTGGGATGGACGCCAAACGCCTACTTGTGCTCGGTGCAACCCTTGGTTGCGATCTGGGCATACGAGTAGTTGTGCATGGCTCTTGGATTTGGTATAAGCACGGGGCATTGGAATTCATCTTCTTCTTTCCCCGTGTGCCAATGTGGCACGCTAGTCCTACGCATGACTGCTTTGTTGCATTGAGTGTTCTTTCGTCGCTCGTGCTCGGGGCATCATTTAGGAATGTTACCTGGTTGATCCTGCCAGTAGTCATATGCTTGTCTCAAAGATTAAGCCATGCATGTGTAAGTATGAACTAATTTAGACTGTGAAACTGCGAATGGCTCATTAAATCAGTTATAGTTTGTTTGATGGTACCTACTACTCGGATAACCGTAGTAATTCTAGAGCTAATACGTGCAACAAACCCCGACTTCTGGAAGGGATGCATTTATTAGATAAAAGGTCGACGCGGGCTCTTGCCCGTTGCTGC